TATATACCAGAAATAGTGACTGATGCAGAAGATGCCTGAGTAAGAACAACTTTGCGTATTAAAAATCTAACTGAGAAGAAAGAAGAGAGAGTAATAGTATCTGTTAATAAAAGAGATATTCATGATTTTTACAAAATACTTCCTGGGAAATTGAAAGATTCGAGCACTTCCAATTTGGATACTTCTTCCAATTCAAATACTTTAGACAGCGATTCAAGTAATTCTTCCATATCTAGTTCAGAAATAGAAATTACACATGCACATAAGACTAGAGCAGTAAAGAAATGCTTTATTCGAAAGCGTAAAGTAAAAGGTAAAGTTAATTATCGAGATTAACTCACAGAGTGAGGATGCTAACAGATCTAATCCATATGTATAATAAATTATTAGAGCATAACCACATCGTAACTTCGAAATCACATGACGTTATAGGGCAAAGCCCATTGCAAAGCAATAATGAGCCTCAGTAGAGTGATGTTATGTGTTTTATTTCAAAGAAATGGCTCTTTAAGCCTAAATCCACAAATCGGAGATCAGTATAGAAGTATTTCAGTACTAACCAACTCACTAACCACACCTATTGCAGAGCAATGACTCTTTTGGTCTACCCTTAAGCTAAATTATTTATCTATGATTGCCAATAAAAATCAAGCAATCCTGGCCCATACTAAATAATTCGTGAGTGAACAGATCGCCAAATTCGAAATGAGATTTCATAAAATCTACAAACTAATTTTTTTAATTATGAGAGTATTTAATGTATAAAAATGAGCTAAGTATAAAAAAAATTGTGAAATACTTATCTGGTTATACTTTATATTAACGCATACAAATCTAATCACATAAATTTTACTCTTGAATATGTCTACCTCTACTTCCACATCAACTGCTTCTATTAATAATATCAAAAATCTCGCATATAATATTCTTAAAACCTTCAAGGATGGCATTATTAAAGGTAAAAAAATTACAGAACTAGGGCCATGCTCTGAATATGACAATGATATTTTAATATCTCCTCTCAAAGCATTCATATATCTAGCATGCGGACACCTTTTTTATAGACTCTGTATTGAAAAAAAGCTTTTACTTACTGTTCCAAACATATGTCTATTCCTGGGTAGTGGAAAGAATATGGAAATATTAGATCAAGCCAATCCCCTTGGCACTGTTTCCAATTTGCCATTAACTAATCCCAAGGAGGCCTCCTAATCAACTAGAATTTCACCTTTGATGGGCGAAACATTTGTGCTATTTTCACCACCTATACAGATGGAAGGGATCGAGGATACAGCAACCCAACAAGTCAAAAATAATTTGAGGTGTACCAAATGTTCTGAAGATCTTTCTTCATGTCTCCTACCTATAGGCTTTCTTTGATTCTCTCTCCAACTTCAAGGCCTCTTGAAACCACTCAAATACTTAACCTGCAAACATATCATCCATTACAATTGTATCAATAATCTACAAAAACTATGTCCTATATGTCCATCAACTAATATAGAACCAGAAGAGGAAGAAGAAATGAGTGTTAATGGCAAAGAACAATCTGATACTAGCAGTAAAAAACGTTCTAATGAAAGTATGGATGTCAACTCATCTTCACCCAAGAAAAAGGCAAAGAAAGCAGTTAAAAGAGAAGATTTGCCCATTTTGAAAAAGCTTATCAAGGAATTGTTCGCTCCAATTCTACAGCAAAGTTCTTTTGATAGTATTATTTCTCTACAGACATTCCTTGATATAGATATTAACTTGGTTAATTTTTGTGAACTAGATAATAAGATCATCAATACCGAAGATGGTAATAAAAAAACTATTCTAGAAGTGATTCATGCATATTATTATTTTGAGAAAGGGTATAGGTTATGGTTTGACCATTATAAAAAAACATATAGTAAGGATACGTCCAATTCTCTAGTTAATGATAAAATTCGAGAGCACTTTCCAGACCAGGACAAAGTTTCAGAGACTAATCTTAGAAAAAGGAAGGAAAGGGCAATAAAAATCTTTAAACTCTTTGATGGGGTTGGAGGGGAAGGAAAGATATATTGTATTAAGTCTTTTTCTGCGTCAACTATTTTGAGACTGGGCATGGATGATATTAATTATGTAAAAGCTAAGTTTTAAAAGCGAGCTAATGAAATTTACTGTGTCAAATTTTATTCAAGTATGACCGCCCTGGTCACAGCTACCGAAAATTTTCTGATTTTGATGAATATCAAATTTTTACTCAACTGTGACCACCTGATCACACTTGCCAAAGTTTTTCCATGTTTTAACATTATCTAAACATGCTTATCGTTTCTATAAATAAAGTCAATGTATACGCTTATCAATTATTTTTAAACTCATGTACTCCTATAAATGTTACTGCTTAATGGCTTACCTTTTTTTTCCTCATAAAATTCTCCTGCCTTATGAGGCTTATAACAAGATAGGGCATAAATGCAAGTACACTAATTACAGGTTTGTACACACATATAAAAAAAAATAACCACGTGTATATTATTTTTTCTATTAATATACAAATGTGGAATAATACAAATAAAAGAAGTCGAAATTATATCGAAAAGTGGCATATATTTAGAGGATGGAAGCACGGGTGTAAGGTCTGTGACGAATGCAATCACCATTCACACCTATATTGCAAAACATGCAAAAAAGTAGCGAATGGAATATATAAGCGATGTGAATGCGTCAATTCCCTAATAATTAAAAATAAATCAGGGTTAACGGTTTGAATAATACGTAATGATAATGATGGTTTAAACAAAATTTATCGTTATACATAATTTTCCGTAATACATATCACTATGAACCATTTTATGTTCTATTAAAAAAATCAAATTTTAGACCTTTATCCTAACCTTAACGCTAAACTAGCTCGAATTTTTTAAAGCCTTATGGAAATTTTGTAAAACAACATGGCGAGTATACAGTGATTAGTTAACATGGTTTATTCATTCGTTCATCTGATATAACATTAAAGGAGAAAAACTTCTTGGAAACAATACAATATGATATTATGTTAATTGTCAATTTAGCAATCATTATAAGGATTTGATCCATTCTCTATCCTCAGTTCTATGTAATAAATGCCCTACTACACATGCTTTTTTCCCTTCAAACGCAATTCCTATTTCCAGAAGTCTTTTGACTTCGTCTTGTAGACCTGCTCGATACTGCTTCTTTTCAATTTGACATAATCCTTCGTGAGCCACATTGTTCAAACTTTTATTATCATGAACAATTTTAAATTCAATAATGATAGCCATCTCACCGACACCCGATTTTGGAACTATTTTTACATCATATCTTCCCATACCAGCCTCACGATTAGAATGAACGATATAGCCTCGATCACGAGCAACAACGAACATTCCCAAGCAAAAGGCATGATAAACATTTTCTGCATTTTTTCCGGATTGAGACCCCCCAACATCATAAAACGAAAGCGCATCTATAACTATATATTCAAATTCTTTTTTCATGGAGGAGAATCAGGAGGTCACCATGTTAGGTTCTGATTTTGAGCCGTATACTAAGACTCGTGAATATTAATTTCTTTTCGCTTTCTGGTATTTTTAGTTTTGCACTTTACAAATTAACTTTTATTTTTATATAGTCAATAATGCTCGTGTTGTTTTTGGTGCAACTGTTGCTATTGGAAAAGATAATTTTGAATCCATTATGGGCGATCGTCTCACCTTTGTTGATAAGTCGATGCTCATAAAAGAGTTTATTGAAAGTTCGGATTTTATATCACTTATTCTTCGTCCTCGCCGTTTTGGCAAATCAACAAATCTATCCATGTTAAATCGCTTCTTTAAAGTACCACGTTCCCATGAAGAAGAAATTATCTGCAGGCAACTTTTCGAAAAGCTGAAAATTTCAGCTGAAATAGAAATTATGCAAAAACATTTCGCGCAGTATCCTGTTATTCATATTTCACTTAAGGTTTATATTGATATTAATTTTCATTTGTTACGGTAATATTAATATTTTATCTTACGCGGTCCATTACAAAATAGGATTTAACTTCTGAAACATGGGATGAGATGACGACATTATTAAGAGTAATGATAGGTGGAATTTATGATAAATACAACTATATTATCAACAGTTTATCACCCTATCAACAAAAGAGATTTCAACGAATTCTTGACAGTTACCTAACCTATCCTGTATCTGAATTGAAAATTGCTTTGCAAGAACTTTCTATATATTTACGACAACATTATAAAAAAAAATGTATTGTATTGATTGATGAATACGATTCTCCAATGGAATGCGCCTATAATAAAGGATATTACGGAGTTGCAAATGATTTTTTTAAAGGCATGTTCTCATCATTATTGAAGGTAAGGCACATTCGAATTTTTTATTATAATCTAATCGAAAAATTCATATCTATTTCTGATTGAAAATTAGAGCAATGATGAAAATATTGCAAAAGCTATGTTGGTTGGTGTATTACGGATTGCAAAATCTGGGTTCTTATCTGGGTTG